CCAAGAATATGTCATTTTTCCTTTTGGCTGGGAAAAATTTCTCTACCATTTAGTGACTATTCTAACTTTTGAAATTTTGGGGTTTTCCTAAGGACACTTGTGAAAGGGGTCACTCAAAAATGATAAGTATATGTTGTCATCATTTAAAAAAATCAGTAATAATTTACAAAATGTAGAAAATTGCGAACAGCAACCATTTGTAGCTGAGAATGTGGTCCCTTCATCAGGATCCATTTTTCCTTTCTTTATTCTTCTTGAAGAGAATCCTTTCTTTTCTTTTCATAAGAAAGTGCACCTGCACCACATTTAGCAGCTAAAAGGGAATGGAAAGGAGTGGAGGAAGCAGGAGAAAGTCGATGATTAGAGGAAAACGGTGAAGGGGTGCAGCGTCCTGAGATGTTCCCTAGTTTCAAAGGGGTGGTTTGGGTACTTCATCTGCCTCCCAAACTTTTTTTTTCCCTTGAGTTGAGGGTGCTGAAATAATTTTTACAAAAGAGAGTTTAAAAATGTTATTCTTTTTTAGCTTCTCTTTCCTCCTGTTCAGATAACGTTGCCTCTGCTCTTATACCACCGTGCCCCAAACAGCTCACCATACAACCCACACAACTAATTCCTGTCCTCAGTGAATTTATGAACTAGAAGACGACTAATACTGGCTTTCCTCAACTTTCCCATCTGGTTTTCTGAAACTGTTTTAGTAAAAGACATGATGATGTAAATCTCAACATTAAGTCCTCAGAAATAGTTAGCCTTATTTTTGGCCCATTTGAGGATTAAGCTATGCTATTTTAATTTTTTTAGTTTTTATAGTATATGAATTAATTGCATTTTGATTATAGTGAATATTCAATGTTGGCTCCATTTAAAATTGTTTTAAATGTATTTTTATTAGTAAAAGCAGCATATTTCTCAGCACTAGCAATACCAGAATGGAGATTCTCCGCTTGCCTTTCCCAAGCCAACTGTTTCTGCTTTTACATGTTGATCATTATATACGTAGTACCGTGACATTTCTTGAGGCTATTTGAAACTTGTCATTTGCCGTATATTGCCTTAGCATCTTCTTTGTTAAAAAACAAAAACAAATTAAGCAAAGATGATGTAAAATAGTCAAGTAATGAAATGTTTATTGGTTAGTTAGTGGTAAGGTTTCATTCATTTCTCGTTTTTAATTTCCTAGGGTCGTATCAGTATAATGTTCCAGAATCACTGCCAGTGGCCTCCATTGTGGCCAGAATTAAAGCTGCCGATGCAGATATAGGAGCTAATGCTGAGATGGAATACAAAATTGTGGATGGTGATGGATTAGGGGTTTTCAAGATTTCTGTTGACAAAGATACACAGGAAGGAATCATCACTATACAGAAGGTACTATTTTCTTTATTTTTATTTCCTATGAAGGTAACATCCTAGACACTACTAGGAAGCCACGTCTGCTTTGATGGAAGAATGTGTTAGACAAATTTGAATGACCACATGGAACCATGGTTATTGTAATGTTAGGGGGAAAAGTCATGCATTTATTTTGAAGCGTCAGGATTGTGGAGAAAATTGAGTACCACTTGGAACCACACGCATCAGTTCCATTCTCTGAGTAAACACACAGTTGTCATCCAGAGCTCTGTCACGGAAAGGCATCCTGGTCCATGGGATGTTTTAAACAACCTGCCTGGAGAGATGAATATGATTCTTCACTGACCATTCCAGTAATGAAACCAGCCAGAAGCCTTTGCAAACAACTAGGCAAGCACCCCTCATGCATGAAAATAGTAGAAATAAAGTTGGAAATAGAAACCAAAATGCTGAAAACTCGCTACATTACTGACTGCTCTTTTATAAAATGTACACCAACTGAAGTGTTTGAAAAATGTATGCAATCAGAGCACAGAAAGTTGTGAAGCCTATCATAACCCCTTAAATATAAGTGCAAAGGGGATTTTAAAAAAATCATTCTAATCCAAAATAAACACTATTTGCCATGATATATTTATTTTATTACTTTTTTTTTTGAAACATGGTTCTTATTGAACTACAGTCAATTTACAATGTGTTAATTTCTGGTGTACAGCATAGTGATTCAGTTATAAATAGATATATATATTCCTTTTCATATTCTTTTTTATTATAGGCCATTTCAAGGTATTGAATACACTAGGATCTTGTTGTTTATCTATTTTATATATAGTAGGTAGTATCTACAAATCTCGAACTCGAAATTTATCTCTCCCTCCAGTAACCATAAATTTGTTTTCTGTGCTTTGATATATTTAAATTAGCTCCCCACATTGATTAGATATGGGGGAAAATGAGCTGGTTTCTCCACTTGCTCTGTACAGACATGATTTTTGACAAATGTTAATTTAAAAAAATACGTCAAAAAGAATCATTCCAGC